CCAAGACCCAGCAGCTCAAAAATCATGATAGGCACATGTGTACACATACCCAAAAACTCAAGAGGAGACTGGAGGAGAAGGGATTACAGTGTGGCTATTCTCGCTGGGGGGATTTCTCAACTTTCCTTCCCTGTCTCTGACAAGCACACACACCATAGAGCAAAAAGTGAAAACAAACAAAAACAAAAAACCTCTCTACCTTACATAAAGCTTCAAAAACATTGAGGAAAAACATAAAATATTGAGTGGATCCACATGTGAGTGGATCAGTTGTCCTTTTTCTTCTAATTTGACACTGGAGAATAGATAGCCAAAGTTAAAACACAAATAAGGAAAAGGCTGATTCCCAAATGTTCTATTAGCATATAGCCATTAGAAAACTCAAATATAGAAAGTTCAGCCAAACATTCAGTCCACATAGAAGGAATGAAATGTCAATATATGTATACTTCAATATCGATGGACATTGACAGTATTATACTAAACATAATAAGCCAGACACAGAAGATAGATACTGCATGATTCTATTTATGGATACCTAGACCAGGTACATTCATAGACACAGAAAGTAGAATAAAGGCTATCAGGAGTTTATGTCATGAGAAGGGGATGAGGAGTTACTATTTATTGGGTAAAGACTTCATGTTGGGGGTGATGAAAAAGTTTTGGGTTCAGATAGGAGTGATTACACAACATTGTGTATAATGAATACCACTGCACAGGACACTTATAGTTAAAATGATATGTATATTGCTATGTATATTTAATCACTATAGATATGTTTACGTGTGTGTATGTATGTACACACACATATATTTTAAAGTCTGTTTATCTGGAGAAAACAAAGCATTGAGAAAAAGTGATTCCTGAGTCTTTTGACAGCTTTCCATTTCCAGGGTTTATCTTTTATCCTGGGATCATAGAATCTTTATATATTGTTTATTCTTACATCAATAAAACATTTTGGTTTTGCTCAGAGTAGCTCAAGTTGATCATTGTTACTTAAACCTAAATAGTTAATTCACCAGCTTTGGTGAATTTTTTACAATAATTTGTCATTTTGGAAACTGCTTATCTTCTCTTAATAAGATATCTAAGGTCCAGAGGCTGAAAGCAACACAAACAATTTCCACACTTCACTTATCCTGTGTTCCCCTAGAGGAGCCAGATTTCAATCATCTAGTTATACTTTACACGGTCATCTAGCTCATTTTTCAGTTGCTGTAACTGAATCCCTCAGACTGAGTAAATTACAAGGAATACAAGTTAATTTAGCTCACAATTCTGGAGGTTCCAGGTTGAGGAGAGACATCTGATGAGGATATTCTTACCAATGTGGACTCTCTGCAGAAACCCAAAACAGCACAGGGTATCACACAGCAAGAGGACAAGACCCTGTGTGGTGTGCCAACCCTCTTCTTATAAAGCCACCAGAATTCAGTCATGGGGGTCCCACCCTGATGACCTCATTTAATGCTAATTAAGTCCTAAAATCCTTTCCTTCTCTCTCTCTCTCCAGTTATGCTATGCAGCTGGGACTATAAATGCATGCCACCATGACCAACTCTTTTTAGACCAGGTCTCACTATGTTGCCTAGGCCAGCCCCATGGTTGTGATACACCTGCTGCAGCATCCTGAGTCTCCAGGATTACAAACCTACATTATTATGCTCAACTTTTTAGTTTGGGTTGGGAATCAGACCTGTGGCCTCAGCCTTCAGGAAACGACATCTGAGCAGCACACACAACTGTGACTGACCCAGTCATACTTATTAATACCATAGTCTTATTCAAACTGTAACACATCAAAGTAGAGGCATTAGAAGTTTCCAGGGAAGCAGAAGTACCTATAAAAATTTTATTTCTGGGTTTGATATTTGTTATTGACACCTCCTTAAATGAACAGTCAATAAAAATCTAGCAAGTAGTCCAGTTTTGGAGTGTGTACCTGAGACTTGTGCAATAATTTCTAAAGCTAATTTTATCTCCAAGATCAGTTTGGGACCAGCAGTTGGCATAATGGTTATGTCACTGGACTCCCATGTAGTCGATTGCAGTTCGAGTCCCAGACCTGGTGGCTTAAACTCATGCCAGGCGCATGTGCATGTGTGCCCAAGATCCTGAGAGGAGACTGGAGGAGAAGGGATTGAGGTGTGGCCATCCCCCCTGGGGGGTGATTTCTCACTTTCTGTCTCTCTCTCTCTGTCTTTCTGGCAAGTGCATGTGCTCTATAACAAAAACTTCTCCAAAAAAAAAGAAAAAGGCCAGTTAAATTTTAATGGTAAAGGGGGTATAAACTGAATTAGCTGACTGTCTGCATTTCATTCTTAGAAATGAGTAGGATTCTGTACATCATCACATGAGGGAGGAGAGCCAACAAGAGATTGATATTTTCCAGAGTCTTACATATCCATAATGTATTCACTCCAAACCCAAACAGGAAGCATGTTTAATCAGCATTCTTAATCTTCCAACCTATATGGTGGTAATAACTCTATTTAGGGTATTTCCTTTAATCCTGACACAATTTACAAAATAGTATAATATTATCATTTTTTCCAATTACAGATAAGGAAACTGAGGTAATGATCAGGGACCCATACTTTAGCTCATTTGTTAATGTTTATTAAGCCTTAGACATTGGTCACTAGTTATAGCCCAGAGGTTAAGACCACTATCTTGGAAACTAACTGAGTTTCACTCCTGGATTAGTCACTTAGTAGTTGAGACAGAGGATGTAAATTCTTCTAGTGTGGTTTTCTCTTCTGTCAATCATGATTACTTCTCAGGGGAGTTGTAAGTTCAATGTCTGAAGTACTTAGCTTGGAACCTGAGAAAGAAAATAAAATCGAGAAAATAAAGACATTGATTTTATTTTGACTAAGTTTAAATGTCTCTACTGTGGAGCCAGCAGGTGGCATGGTGCTTAAGGCACTGAATTTTCACATAGACAACCAGTTTGAGTCTTGGGTTTGGCAGCTTGAAAATCATAACAGGCACATGTGTGTGCATCCCCAAAATCCTGAGAGAAGAATGCAGAAGAAGGGTGGCTATTCCCCCATAGGGAGGGGGTGATTTCTCTTTCTCTCTTTTGTGAACACACATACCCGATGGCAAAAACCTTTTTAAAAAATGGTCTATTGTGCCTTTGATCCTAAATCTGTTATGAATGTGCTCTATCAGTTTCCATATATGACCTTAAATCATTGTTGATAGGATTTGATAGAATTCAGAGTAGGTTCTTGCTTCCATGAATTTGGACCTGAAATAAAGAAATGCTAGTTAGTCTTGGGCTGAGAACATGTACATTCTGGAAGTATGAACTAATTGAAATGCATACTTCATACTTGTATGATAGACTGAATAATGAATCCCCCCCACCCCCAAACACACACACACACACACGAAAGGTATATAATTGCACGATGGTTAATTTTGGGTTTCCATTTGGGTTAGTGAATGCCTGGAATGTCTGGTGATCCATTGTTTGTGTGTCTATGTGAGTGTTTCAAGACCAGCATGTGAGTCAGTGACTCTAAAGAGGAAGGCCCACTTTCAGGGTGGAAAAGCACCAGCCTGTTTGCTGGGAGCTGTGAAAGGACAAACAGAAAAATGCAAATCCTGCTTTCTCTCTCTTGATCTTTCTTTCTAGAGAGTCTTGTGTGCTCTATTTGTATACATATGCCTGTTCCAAACCGGCTCTTCCACTTGACTCTTGACTACGATTTTTTTTTTTTTCTTTCAGCTCTTGATCATTGTGACTCTCAAGCTAGACAGACTCTAAGGTCTTTAACTTTGGGTCTTGTGACACATAGCAGCAAGTAAGGGCACTGAGGCCTATGGCCTCCCGAGGGCCCCTTTAGACCTTGGACTGGAACTGTACCAGATTCCTTGCTGAGTTTTTCAGACATTTCTTCAGCTTACAGACAGCCTCTTGTGGGACATTTCCACCTTAGATCAGGTGAGATAATTTCTGTAGTAACTACTTCTTTAACATATATATTTGTCCTATTGGTTCTGTTTCTCCAGAGAGCCCTAACCAACACAAGATCCTGATCACTAGACACTTTGAGTGTTATGTTATATGGCAAGAGGGATTTTGCAGATGGGATTAAATAAAAGATCTTGAGATGGGGAGGTTATATTGATTTTCCATGTGAGATATCAGTGCCCTTATAAGAGAAAGGTAGCAAGTGACTTGACTATAGGATAGGGAAATGTGATGTGATAATGATGAAAGCAGAGAGAGAAATGGTGGTGTGATGCAAAGCCACAAACTATAATAAGAAGCAAAGACAGCTGTTACAGGTGAAAAAAGCAAGAAAACTGTTTTTTTTTCTTACAGTCTCTGGAAGCAAATGACTCTGCTAATATCTTGTTTTTTAGCTCCATAAAAAGACTCATTTGGAATTTCTGAATACCACAAATATAAGAAAATAAACTGTTAATCCACTAAATACATAGTAGTTTATTATAGCAACAATAGGAACTAATACATCACAGATATAAAATCATATTGAAAATTTGCAATTAGCCACACAGCTTGACCTAGCAACACCCTGTAATAAAAACGTAGTCAAAAAGCCAAAATTTCATTAATGCTTGTGTAATTTAATTTAATAGAACACCTCAAAGCTCCTTAAGAGACATCCAGAATCAAAAATCAATTATGCTAATGGCTCTCAAAACTTTGGAAAACTTTGTAAAAGAAAGGGGAGGGTGCCAGAAGAGTGATTTTTCAAAACAAACTTTTTATTTTCAAACACAAGCATAAAAAAGTCAGGGTTCTTTTTATGAAATCTTTTTTGAAAAAGAAAGTATTGCTTTTAAAGCGTTATTTTGGCACTAATAATTAGCTTCGGGTGATGATAATTCCAAAATGTCTGTCACCCTAAAGGTGTAACACCAAAGGGTTAAGCTTCTAATTTTTTGTAAGAACGTGAAAGAGGAAGAGAATAAAGCTATTTCATAAGTTATTGAATTTTTTTTGCACTAAGGTAGATTGCTATATTCTTGTTTATATTTAGGTTTTTCCATTGATAAGAAAAGGTTGAAATGGACAGTGGTACCATTCAACAGTATTTCTTAGGGGTGCATTTCCACTGATGCCATCCACAAGGATTAATTTCAAACCCAAAATTTTGCAGGCTCCCCTGAGTTTTCTCTTTATCAGTTGCCACATGTACATAAAATGGTATTTTTCTCTCATTTAAATATTTTACAAAGTCATATCCAATTTGCAACATGTTGCCTTTGCTTCGATATTTGGGGACAGTGTAACCCATTCTCAGCTCACATGACTGTTCCATCACGAGCCAGGAGATAGGCTGCCCTTCTGGACCCATAATCCCAAATCCTGGGAAACTCTGGAGGCAGCGTTCAACATATTTCAAGCTCCTCTCATTTTTCCCAAAGAGCCATTGTTCATTTATAAGACCTGCATGTGAGGCATCCAAAAAAATGCTTGGAAAGTTTTCTTTCCTGTCAAGGAAAAAAATTTATATTTATTCAGACAATATTTACCAAACACCAGGATTGTAAAAAAACAAATATGATATGATCCCATCCCTTGAGGATCCTACAGCCTAGATGAAGAAATAGATGCATAAAAACTATTTCTTTTTTCTTTTTTCAAATTTGTCATGAGGCATGTGTGCTTACTAGAGAACACAGAGACAAAGAGGGAGAGTGAGAAATTACCCCCAAATAGGTCTTGGTCATGTGGTAATCCCTTCTCCATTTCTCTAACCTGTCTGGATTTTGGGTGAAGAGGCGTGTGCACCTAGAGTGTGTTTCAAGATGCTGGAGCCAGGATCCAAACTTCATGATCAGCTATGTGGGACCATAAACATCAGACTACAGGAGTGCCTCATAAAATATTCTAAGTCAGCTTCAAAATATTCCTGAGTAATTGAGAGAGGAAACACTATGTACACTGCATAGCAGAGAGTCCCTAGGATATAGTATAGTATATCTCAAAAAGTCTAATCAGATACTCTAAGGAAGAAAATGAACAGAGTTTTCTAAAGGAGTGGGGATACAGACCCGAGAAACTCCTCACGTGGCTGAACGTTCTATGATCTCATATATAAAACGTGAATTTGGTGGACCAGCAGATGGCATAATGGCTATCCTGCTGGACTCCTATGAGGTCTACCATGGTTCAAGTCCCGGACCGGGTGGCTTAAACTCACGCATATGCCCAAGATCCCAAGGGAATGGTAGAAAAGGGATTGTGGCATGGCCATCCCCCCTGAAGGAGTGATTTCTCGCTTTCTGTCTCTCTGTCTCTCTCTGTCTTTCTGGCGAGGGCACGTGCCATATAGCAAAAAACCTCTCCTCCCAAAATAAAGTGAATTTGGAATGCTATTTGACAAAATATCTAAGTACATAGGATAATATTTCCTTCAGTAGATACTCAGATAAAGCATGTGCTATGGAAAATGAGAGTCATCTGGCTCTGATGTGTGTCACGTGTCCCACAGCCCTTCGTCACATACTTTAGGGAAGTACCTAAAATGCAGGTTGAGGAGCATCAATGTAGGAAGAAGAATATTGTATTTTTGGAGCTAACCATTGGAATTCTAACCCTGGTTCTCATATTGGACAAGTTATCTGAGACTCAGTTTTCTTATCTGTACAATCACAATAAAACCCTTTACAAGTAGGACGGTTGGGAAGAGGGTGGGGAAAACAGGTCTCAGAAGTTATACTTCTCCTCAGGGAGGAAGAGTTGTGTTTTTTCTTTTTTGTTTTTAAGAGAGATATTTTTGTTATAGAGCAGGTGTGCTTGCTGGAGAGACAAAGAGATAGGAAGTAATAAATCACATCCCCAGGGGAGATGGACACACTGCGATCTCTTCTTCTCAATTTTCCTCTTGGGATTTTGGGCACTCATGCACATGCACCCAATGTGAATTTCAAGCTTCTGAGTCTGGGACTTGAACCTCAGTCGACCATGTGGGAGTCCAGAGACTTAAACATTACACCAACTGCTGGTCCCCAGGGAGGAAGATTTTAACACAGTGGTCAGTTTCAAAGTCACTCCAAGTTCAACAGTGGACAGATCACTTGGCACTAAATTTCCTACACATGGGTAAGCCTTTTGTTTTGCTCTATTCTATTCTTGAACTGACCCTCGATCTGTTTCCTTAAAGAACTTACGTACTCAATTGTGGATAACCAGACCTGGAGTGGCAAGATGTTAAGATATATAGCTGGGTTTAGAGGAAAGAATCACCTTAGGGTAGGTGCTTCATTCCTGATTTCCACAGTTATAATAGTAAGTATTGTGTAACTCCCATTCATCATTTCTCTTTGTACATGGTTTTATTAGAATTTTCATGGAAACAGAGATGGATCATGGAAGGAATTAAATATTGTTAACTCTCCTGCATAAATTACTATTTGTAGAGTGTGTGCTTATGTTTTTAATTAGTAATATAACTTAAATCATAAATGGATAATTAATGGAAAATAAGACTCCTTTCTCTGATCTTCTATCATCCAGTTACATTCTCTAGAAGCAACCACTAATGCCAAAATGTTTTGTGTAACCTTCCAGAGTTACTCCATGCAGTTTTACATCTGTTCATTTGCACAGATGATAGAGAAACACACACATACACACACACATATATACTGTTCGGACCACCTTTTTTGTATTTTTTTCCATTTAGCAATATATTTTGGGATTCTATTATTTTCAGTTCTTGTAGGGCTGCTTCATTTGTTCAATAGTTTATAGTATTCCAATGTTTGCATCTCTCATAATCAGTGAATCTTTTCCCTTATTCATGATGTTTAGATTTTTTTCATATGTTATGCTATGACATATTAAATTCATCAAATTCTCATCATCTGATTTGGTATGTCTTGCATTTAACATGCATGTTTTTTCACCCAACAATTTTGATTCTACAAATTCATCTTTCAGAGATATTTATGTAGCTGTGCAATCATCTGTTTATTGTTTATTGGAGATTTTCAGTGCAGAAATTTTAGTAAAGTATTCTGAGATGGTACTGGGCATAATGCTAGCATTGACAGTGTCCTAGTACCATCTCAGAAGGGCTCTCACAAGCACTGAGTTAATACAAGTAAAGGAAGCCAGAAGATGGCACAGTGGTTAAGGTGTTAGATTCCCACATGGCTGACTATGATTTGAGTCCTTGTCCTGGAGGTCTGAAACTCACACTGGGAACATGTGCATGTGTGCCCAAAATACCAGGAAGAGAATGGAGGAGAAGGGATTGTGGCATGGCCATACTCCATATGGGGTGATATCTCACTTTCTGTCTCTCTGTCTCTCCATTGAGTGCATGTGCCCTATAGCAAAAATCTCTCTTTAAAAAGAAAGAAAGAGAAACAAAAGAAGAAAGAGAGAAAGAATGAAGGAAAGAAAGAAATCAATGCATGTAAAAAATTCATCTATTGAAGATGCTGCCCATGAGCAGCAAACATTACCTAACATGGAACCCCATCATAATTCAGACTCAAATCCTACATTTTCAAGAATAACCTTTTAAAGCAATTGAATAATTACATCAAGAATTGAGGGAAATAGCAGTTAGCGTAATGGCTATATCACTGAACTCCCATGTAGCCGATCATGGTTCAAGTCCTGGACCCAGTGGCTTAAACTCACGCCAGGCGCATGTGTGTGTGTGTCCAAGATTCCAGGAGGAGAATGGAGGAGAAGGGATTGCAGCATGGCCACCCCCCCTGGGGGGTGATTTCTTGCTTTCTGTCTCTCTGTCTCTCTCTGTCTTTCTAGCAAGTGCACACGTCCTATAGAAAAAACCTGTCAAAGAAAGAAAGAAAGAAAGAAAGAAAGAAAGAAAGAAGAAAGAAAGAAAAAAGAAAAATAAAAGAATTGAGGAAGTAAATATTTAAATCTCACTTGTTATCTTCATCTACTTTATCTATTGTAAGTAACTTTGCCAACTCCGTGTGGTCTTCACTTGAAGTCTTGAATTCCTTCGGTGTTTTTATCGTAAAGAGTGTGGTCTTCAGGTAATCTACCTGTACTGATTTTGAAGCTGATACCTTTCTTATTGCCTCACCCAAGCTCTCCTGGCAACCTGAAGAGAAGAGAAAGATAAGTATTGCTTCACTCCTTCCATATCCACACTGAATGGACTGTAGGTCTTTGCCTTTTAACTCAGACTAGTTACCTTGGATCTGGAAGACTTGTTCCCAATTGATAACATGAGGACATGACAGAACTTCTTCCAACTTGTGGGGAGCTTTGGTGAAGATGTGGTAAGTGTTGGTATAATGATCCTGCTCATCTTTCATCTCCTGATATGACAAATATCAATTGTATTTTTATACATAGTACTATAATTTACAAAATGTTCTTGACAATTTACAAAACCTTCTTGCATGAATCTAGCATGTTAAAGACTCAATTGTTTGATACTTTCAATTATTCTGATACAGAATAACCTTGGAATCACTTGAAGCCTGAAGTGATTAATATACTGAAGCAATTAATATAATGAAATGATTAATTTCTTGAAACATTAGTATACTGAAGGTGTTTTCTTTCTGATGGTGCACCAAGGTCAGTTGTCATTGGGAAGGTGAGCAAGTGGATCCATTATCTAAGACAGGAAGTGTACCAGAAATAGTATGTATAAAAGATCTAAAAGATTCGGTACTCAAAGTATGGAAAGAAGTATAGAAAATAGTGTTGATGTCAAGACTCTGAATCTTTGATGAAGTGATATCTGAGCTAATTCTGACCCAGTGCTCTAAGTCTGGCATAGTGATTGGCCATTGGTGTGCATGTAAATAGAGGGAATGGATTTTTGGAAAGGAACATCATACCAACGCCCACTGTAGAACCCAGAATGGAGTACCTACTCTGTCTTCACATATTTGCTTCCCTTCTGCTGTTGAGACTTACCCTTGGAGTCCCTGTAGGTAAAATCACTTCTTATCCACTTCCAGCCATAAAAATTTGTTGATATATGCCTATCAGCACATTCTTGATGGAGAAGAATTGACCAAACGTGATCCTGAAGTGACTTAAAATGGACTATTGGCCATTGGCTCTAAGTCCAAGCCTTAGCTCCTGTCCTATCTCCTCCAAAGCAGCTCCCCTAGGAACCATTCCAAAACTTATATGCAGCAAAGAAGCCATGGTTCTTCTCTCCAGGTCTTAACTTCAGTTCCCTCACTGACACACAGAAAGAAAACACCCTGAGAGTGACTGGCCTGATATTTGGACATTATTGCTCCCACCTCTTTCTGAGGTCGAGTTATGACCGTCTGATAATTTGGCCAGGCATCCACCAGCACCTCCATGTTGAATGGGTTTTTATTCTTAATGTGGAAAATGGCACCGTACACCTATAAGAGCAACAGAACAAAACAGGAGAGGATGAAGTTTTACCTTGAGATAAGGTTTTAGGTGTGACAAAGGAAATAAAGACAAGAGCTAGGAGAATTTGACAAAATGGAGCCAATGTGTTTTCAGGATGGCTCATTGGAAGGTGCACTGCAAGAGAGCTTCATAAGGTCCACAAGAATCCATTTCAATAGCTGAATCATTAAGATCTGGCTCTTTGGACATTCATTCTTTTTTTTTAATGCATGCCATTTTTTTCTGATTTTTTTCTTCTTTTTTTTTTTTGGCCCATTTTATACCATACCACTTATTTGACACCTATTATATATCAGATCTATGCTAAAAATAGAGAATTCAAAAGTGAATGTGATGTGGTGGCTGCCTTCAAGTTGATTTTAGGATGGACAGATACATTGTCCATTCATAACAGGACACGTGTTCTGATACATGTATGCACATGGTGATGTGGAATCTCCAGTAGGAAATGCACAACCTGTCAGGAAGAAGTGGTGGGGAGACTTACATAAAAAGTAACACTTGGGGTCAGAAAATGGCATAGTGGTTATATTGCTGGACTGCCAAATGGCCAATCATGGTTTGAGTCTCAAATTTGGTGGCTGGAAAATCATTCTGGCCACATGAGTGTGTGTGTGTGCACAAGATTCTAGGAGAAAAATAGAGGAGAAGAGATTGTAGCATGGCCATCCCCACTGAGGGATGATTTCTCCCTTTTTCTCTTACTGTCTCTGTCTCTTTCTCTCTCTGGTGAGTACACATGCCTTGAGGCAAAAACCTCTAAAAATTATAAAAGAAGTAATATTTAAACTGGGTCTTGTTAGACAAAGTTGTTTTCTTGGCAAAATAGAGAATAAGGACATTTTATTTCAGGTAGGAGAAAAAATGAGTGAAAAGCTTGAAGCAGATTATGTCATACCTCCTGATGTGTGAGGGGCTCAGTCTTTCTTGCACATTGAACATGGCAGGGAATGTTGGAAGATGAAGTTGAAAAGATTCAGGCATTGTGTGATAAACCCCATAACCCAATTAAGGTATGTGATTTTTATACCTTTGATTCAGGATACCGCTGCAAATTTTAAAACAAGGGAATGGCATGATTTTATCTGTGTCAGCTCTATGACCCTCATCATCAAATTGTAGGGGAGCTGGTAAGATTGGAGACACAAAAATATTGCAAGTACCTGGAAAGCATAAAGCTATTTACTAGAGATAGTGGTAGGGTGGATTCAAAGAATGTAGAAGATGTCAAAAGGAGTAAAGTAGGTGATAAACTAGAAATAGATATTAAAAGTCATCTATGCAAATGATTTAGACTTATATTTTCTTCTGCCCAGAAAAGTTCTGAGCCCTGAATCTGTTAATATCATCCTTAAACTTCAGCCTTGTCTCTCCAGATATCCTCTTATTTCCTTACCTTCAGAGACTCGGGGGTGCTTTTTTCCAAGGATTCATACAGAACCTGCAGATCCCGGGATTCTTGAAGCACAAACATCTTATGTACCACTTCAGCCTCCTCTCAGGAAGATTATCTAAGGCAACAGCCACACAAACAAAAATACATGGAAATAAGACAGATGTTCAGAAAGAGGAGGAAGGAGAAGTCACCTGGGACACCATAAACTGTCAGTGGTGAAGGGCTTTAGACATTATTATGCCCAACCTTTCATTTTACAAAAGAGAAATCAGGGAACCAGCAGTTAGCGTAATGGCTATGTCGCTGGACTCCCACGTAGTCAACCGCGGTTCGTGTCCCGGACCCGGTGGCTTAAAACTCACGTCGGGCGCGTGTGCGTGAGTGCCCAAGATCCCGAGAGGAGAATGGAGGAGAAGGGATTGCGGCGTGACCATCCCCCCTGGGGGGTGATTTCTCGCTTTCTGTCTCTCTGTCTCTCTCTGTCTGTCTGGTGAGTGCACGCGCCCTATAGCGAAAACCTCTCCAAAAAAAAAAAGAGGAGATTAAATCAGTGTAAAAAATAGTTTATATCTACAAACTTATCCCAAGAGAATATTCATGAACATGTATAAAGATATAAACAAGGAAATTTATTATAGTATTGCTATACTGCAAATTTAGAAGTAATTCAAAATTCATTATAGAGAAATGGTTAAGTTAATGATGATATATTTAAATAATGAGTTATTAATCAACAAAACAATGTCTTCAAAGAGTATTTAGTGACATGGGAAGATACCTATGTTATAAAGTCAAGAAAATGTATGAAATAGTTTCAAATTAATAATATACAGATGGATATGTGGTTGGTTATCTGTGTATATATGTGTATAGTCACCTGAAAGTTTTTCTGAAACAAAGTAGCACATAAATAAGATGCACATATGAGCTTTTGAACTTCCTTCCAAGCCTTAGACATATGGAAAGCTGACTAAATATATGATACATATTTACATTGCATATACCTGATCTTTCATATGACACTTGAAGACATTATATAGAACAGCCATATTCTCTTTAAAATACAATAAATAAAATAATTTATAAACCATTTTGATAGCTTACTAAGGAGTCATCAATTTTTTTTCAAACATAATAGTACTGGAAAAATCAGTAGAATATATATGTGGCTGTGTGTACAGCCAGAATCAATACAAGAGTACATTTGGTTAGAAACAATGTGTTCAAATCAAATAGACCAGAACTCAAACCTTGGTTTCTCTACTGGTTATCTGGGTCATTTTAGATAAGTCACTTTACTTGAGCTTTTCTGAGTCTTATTTTCTTCATCTATAAAATAAGGGTAATACTTTTAGGTTGTCACAAGGATTTCAATAAGTCACAAATGTATGTGAAGTGTTTTGTATGGTAATAAATGGTGTATTTATGTAACTCTAAGGGACATTTTAAAGACCTTTAAATCCAATGAATGTGAACATTTCTTCATTGGATTTATGACAAGAACAAAACTGAAGAAAACTCAGCTATTTATTTCTACCAAAATCTGTAATATTTCCTTCTTTCTACAAACTTTGAGCTAGTTTGTTCTTCATTTCTAATTTCCCAATCCATGAACATGAGTGATCTTTCCACTTATTTGCGTCTTCAATTTATTTCACCACTTGTTATAGTTTTTGGTTATTTCTTTAAAGTTTGTTTAAAGTTATTACTAAATATTTTACTTGATTATAGTGATTGTGCATGGAATTAGTTTTTTGATTTCCTTTGTCAAATAGTTCATCATTAGTGGAAAGATATGCTACTGATTTGGATATGCTGAGTTTTGTACCCTATGTTACTGAATTTGTTACTTGTTCTTACAAATTTTGGTGTAGTCTTTAGGGTTTTCTAAACTATATAGTTTAAAAATATGCCACAAAACAAAGTATTATAACACTGGCATAAAAACAGACACATAGACCAATGGAACAGAATAGAAAGTCTAGAAATAAATTTACACATTTGTGTTCAACTGATATTCTACAAAAGAGTTATAGATGACATGTAAATAATTGTTTGATCTGGCCCAGCCCCATGGCCTAGTTGTTATGACCAAACCTACAATCTGAATATTGGCATTGGTGGCTTGAAAAACATGCCAAACATGTATGCTTGTGTGCCCCAAATCCAGGATGTAGATGTGTAGGGGGAAGGATTGCAATGTGACCACATCCCTCTGGGTGGTGTTTTCCTTCTTTTCTCTTTCCCCCTTTCTCTCTCTGGTGAGAGTACATGACCTCTGTCAATTTTTTTTTTTTATTATCTCATCTGCAAACAGGGATAATATCTTCCTTTTTAGTTTAGATGCCTTTTGTTTCTTTTTCATGCCTAATTGCTCTAAGATTTTTATTATATGTTGAATACAAGCAGTAAAAGTTGGTATCCTTGTCTTCATACTGGTCTAAGAGAAAAAGCTTTCTTTTCACTACTGAGAATGATGTTACATTTATTCTATACTGAATTCTCTTTTTTTTTTTTTTTTTTTTGAGAGAGAATTTTTGCTATAGAGCATGTGTGCTCATCACAGACAGACACAGAGACAGAAAGCGAGAAATCATCCCTCAGGGGGGACGGCCATGCCACAATCCCTTCTCCTCCATTTCCCTCTCAGGATCTTGGGCACACATGCACATGTGCACCCCTGCCCTGAGTCTCAAGTCTCCGGGTCTAGGACTTGAACCACGGTTGACCACGTGAGAGTACAGTAACACAATCATTATGCCATGGGCTGGTCCCTATACTGAATTTTCTTGAAAGTGTGTGCCATGAAAGGATGTTGAATTTTGTCAACTTTCTTGCTTTTTCTCCTTATGTTAAGCTGATTATATGTTTTTGTCCTCCATTCTATTAATGTGAGAATCATACTTACTGATTGTTAATGATCAACTGTCCTTGCCTTCCTGGAATAAATCCCACTTAATTATGGTGAACAACCTGTTTAATGTGCTGTTTAATTCAACTAGCTAGTATTTTGTCGAGGATTGTTATGTCTATGTTAATCAGGGATATTGGCCTACTCTTTTCTTCTGTGCCATTTTCTAGCTCTTATCTGGCTTGATATCAGGGTTATTCTGGTTCTCAGATATTGAGTTCAAGATATGCCTCTCTTTTCATTAATATTTTGGAAGAATTTGAGATACATTGTTATTAGTTCTTTAAATTTGTGATATAATTCATTAGTGAAGGAAATGTTTTATGACTGATTCAATCTCCATATTTATTAATGGTCTGTTTAGATTTTCTTTTTCTCTTGTTATGATTCAGTCTTGGTAGAATGTCTGTGCCTAGTAATTTACCTGCTTCTCCTCCATTATCCAGTTTGTTGGTGAATACCTCTTTGTAGTAGCCTCTTATGATTTTTTGTATTTCTGTAATATCACTTGTAATGTCTCTCTTTCTGATTTTGTTTACTTGAGTCCACTCTTTTTGTCTTAGTCTAATTAAAAATCAGTCAACTTTCTGTGTTTTTTTCCGAAAAAAACCTACTCTTAGTTTGGTTGATCTTTTCTATTGGTTTACTAATTTCAATTCCATTTATTTCTACCAAAATCTTCAATATTTCCTTCCTTCTACAAATTTTGAGCTTAGTCTGTTCTTCATTTCTACTTTCCTTAGGCTCGACATTAGGTTGTTTGCTTGAGATTTGACTTCTTTTTCAATATAAGTATTTATGGCTGTAAAAATTCTTAGAACTACTTTTGCTATACCCTATAAGTGTTGGTATGTTGAATTTGCATTTCGTTTGTCTCATGGTATCCTTTTTTATTTCTTTGTAATCTATTGGTTGTTTAGAACAATGTTTAATTTACACGTATTTGTATATCTTCAAATTTTCTCCTATTATTCATTCCTATTATTCATTTGTATTTTCATGCCATTGTGATTAAAAGAGACACTTGACATTATTGCAATCCTCTTAAATTTGTTAAGCTTTGTTTTTGTTTTTGTTTTTTTTTTTGTGAGAGGTTTTTGCTATAGGGCGTGTGCGCTCGCCAGACAGAGAGAGACAGAGAGATAGAAAGCAGGAAATCACCCCCCAGGGGGGATGGCCACGCCGCAATCCCTTCTCCTCCATTCTCCTCTCGGGATCTTGGGCACGTACGCACACGCGCCTGGCGTGAGTTTAAGCCACCGAGTCCAGGACTCGAACCGCGGTCAGCTACGTGGGAGTCCAGCGACATAGCCATTACGCTAACTGCTGGTCCCTTAAGCTTTGTTTTGAAGCCTGAAAACATGATCTAATCTGAAGAATGTTTCATGAGGAAAATGTATTTTCTTCTGCTGTTAGAGGCAATGCTCTGTGTATGTTTGTTAGGTCCATTAATATAAAGTGTAAATATAAGTCCATTGTTTCTTTAAAGGCTTTTTGGGTTTTCTATCTAGATAATCTCTCCATTGTTGAAAGTAAGGTATTACTTACCATTATAGTATTCCAGTCTATCTCTTCCTTCAGATCATTTAATAATGGCTTTTACGTATTTAGGTGTTCCAATATTGGGTGCATATATGATTATAAACTGTGATGTCTCTTCAGTGAATTATGCCCTTTATAATTATGTAATGACATACTTTGCCTCTTTTTAAAATATTTTACTTAGGTCTTTTTTTTTATTTTTCCTTCTGGTAGAAGCATAGCTACCCCTGCTCTCTCTCAGTTTCTATTGACATGGAATATCTTTTCCTATCCATTTAATTTCAATCTATGTGTGTCCTTACTAGTAAAATTAATCTCTTGTAGGTAATATATTGTTGGATATTGCTTTTTTTTTAAATTTGTTCAGCTGCTCTATGTTTTTTTATTGGCGAATTTAATCTGTTTACATTCAATGTAATTATTGATAGACTTGCTACTGCCACTTTGTAATTTGTTTTCCTGTTGTTTTGAAAGTCTTTTGTTTGTTTTTTTTTTTTCACTTTCTTGCTGTCTTTCTTTGTGATTTGAATTGTGTGTGTGTGTGTGTGTGTGTGTGTTTGTAGGATGCTTTGGAATTTCGTGTAACTGCTATAGGATTTAACTTTGTTGTTACCATGAGGCTCACATGAAATATATTTTTGGAACATTTATTCA